CTGTCCTCTGATGAAGCTGATAGACCTCTGATGTCTCCCCTGTCCTCTGATCAAGCTGATGGACTTCTGATGTTTCTGCTGTCCTCTGATGGACCTCTGATGTCTCTCCTGTCCTCTGATGAACCTCTGATGTTTCCCTTATCCAATTAAGCTGAGGGACTTCTGATGTCTTCCCTGTCTTCTGATGAAGTTGATGGACCTCTGATTCCTCCCCTGTTCTCTGATGAAGCTGATGGACCTCTGATGTCTCCCCTGTCTTCTAATGAAGCTGATGGACCTCTGTTTCCCTTATCCTACAATTCAGCTGATGGACCTCTGATATCTCCCCTATCCTCTGATGAAGCTGATGGACCTCTGATTTCTTCCTTATCCTACAATGATGCGGATGGGCCTCTGATGTCTTCCCTGTCCTCTGATGAAGCTGATGGACCTCTGTTGTCTCCCCTATCCTCTGATGATGAAGCTGTTGGACCACTGATGTTTCTCCTGTCCTCTGATGGACCTCTGATGTCTCTCCTGTCCTCTGATGTCTCTCCTGTCCTCTGATGAAGCTGATGAACCTCTGATGTCTTGCTTATCCTACAATGAAGCTGATGTACCCTGATGTCTTCCCTGTCCTCTGACAAAGCTGATGGACCTCTTATGTTTTCCTTGTCCTATGATGAAGCTGATGGACCTCTGATTTCTCCTTCCTCTGATGAAGCTGATGGACCTCTGATGTCTCCCTGACCTCTGACATCCTGCAGGGAATGTTCACTGAAGCAAGGGGAGATGCAGGAGCAAATGTTCACTAAAGGAAGGGGAGATCCAGGAGCGAAAGCTCATCCAGGGAAGGGAAAATCCAGGAGTGAATGTTCACCATGGGAAATGGACAATAAAGGAAGGGGAGATCCAGGAGAAAATGTTCACTGACTTCCCTCCCCTCTAATTGGCATCACCTTCTATGCCAATCCTAGGTCTGCAGATGGGCCCATGGCGGGGGTGTGTAGGGGGACCCACCTTTACCAGGGTGTGCAGGGGGGACTCACTATTACCAAGGTGTGTGGGGGGACCCATCATTACCAGGGTGTGTGCAGGGGGGCCCACTATTACTGGGGTGTGTGGGGGGACCCAGCATTTCCAGGGTGTTTGCAGGAGGGCCCACCATTACCGTGGAGTACGGGAGGACCCTCCATTATCACGGTGTGTGGGGGGGGTCTCACCATCTGCAAAAAACATAAAAATAAAATAAACACCCACAGACACCTTCAGAGATCCCCCTCAATACATAAGTGGCCTGCTATGTATTTTGGGGGTCTGTGTGATTTTTTTTTGTTTTTAAAAAGGAATCCAGCAGGGAATTGTCATTTGCCGGCAAGTTCAAACTCTTTTTTAGATTTGAAGATGTCACTGCCAACCTATTTTTTTGGCACCCCCTTACCTAGATAATGGGGATGTGTAATTTGACAGATTTAGACAGGAGCCCCTAGAAACCTTTGGAGGACCCCTGGCTGAGAAAGGCTGGACTAGGCAGTCATATATTTCTGTCCCCCTTGGTGGGAGTGGAGGTGACCCCTCTATAAGGATCTACAGTCCATACACACCCAGCACAAGGTCGGGGTCACACTACCAGACAGCTTCTCGGGGCTGCAGTTCTGCTGAGCTCCACAAGGTGAGGATCTCACTTCTACCCAGACAGGAAGTCTCTATGGAAAACAGGAAGTGCTGTTAAGTACAGACAGGAAGTGATGTCAGAGACAGACAGGAAGTTTCATGTAGTAGGAAGTAGAGAGAAGACATTGCTGGAAGTAGCAGCAGAGGAGGTAATAGATGTTATGTTCTATTTACACCCAGTAACATCCCATCATGTCTGTCATCTTCCTCCATAGCCACGTCCGTCCTCTTCCTCCATAGCCACGTCCGTCCTCTTCCTCCATAGCCACGTCCGTCCTCTTCCTCCATAGCCACGTCCGTCCTCTTCCTCCATCCACGTCCGTCCTCTTCCTCCATAGTCACGTCCGTCCTCTTCCTCCATAGTCACGTCCGTCCTCTTCCTCCATAGTCACGTTCGTCCTCTTCCTCCATAGTCATGTCCATCCTCTTCCTCCATGGTCATGTCTGTCCTCTTCCTCCATAGTCACTGTGACATCTTTTATCTCCAGCAGATGATGATACACACATATATAGTGTGGGAACCCAGATTAACCCCTTCAGGGGCACAACATTCCCCCACTTCCGGGGCCGGAACATTCTCCTCATTGTGGAGATGGGTCACCTTCTCACCTCATCAGTCTATACTAATGGATTATACCACTTTAATAGTAGGGGAAAGTGGTGGTGTATGCTTGGAAAGGAAACACATTGTGGTATATATGAATGGTTACATTGGTGACAAAACACAGTGGGTCCAACCAAGAAAGAGACCTAACAAGTAATAGAAGGTCCATGTTGAGTGTACATCCATGTGGGGGTCACCTGGAAGTGGTCACGTGTTTATCTGTTGCTAATGGCACCAGCACCTTTTGTTTGTCAAGCACTATTATTTGAATGGGACTTTGAACACTAATTTGATACATTAGACATTAGTTGTATTTTCTGGTGCTGATTATTTATTTATTTTTTACACTTTTACATGTGGCAAACTGTTTAGCAATCTTGATTTACATTTTTGGCAGGGCGGTCTATATACACATTTACTGGAGATCATATGACATCACATTGCCTCCACCTCCCTCCCTGATAGAAGAGAGAAAGAAGAAGAAGATTCTAGAAGTCACCAGAGAGATCACTGAGCTGCTGACAGGAGAGGTGAGCGGTGCCGGGAATTCTGGGACATTCTCCAGTAACAGACAAGGGATGTGTCTGGATGGTGACTGTATCATTGTGTGTGTCAGGTTCCTATAAGGTGTCAGGGTGTCACTGTCTATTTCTCCATGGAGGAGTGGGAGTATTTAGAAGGACACAAGGATCTCTACAAGGACGTCATGATGGACAATCAGCCGCCCCTCACACATCACCGGGTAAGAGGAGACTTTATTGTAAAGGAGAGAGCAGTACGGAGGATCCACCTAGATCCCCCATCATCTGATAAACACATAGAAACAATGGATTCAGTCAGTGTGTGTGTTTCCTACAGATGGATCCAGTCATGGGAACCCACCAGAGAGATGTCCCCGTCCTCTGTATTCCCGGGATTCCACACAGGAAGGTCACACCATCCCTCACCATCATCAGGTAGATGAGGAACAATCACTGATAGTATCATTAGGATCTGTACATTATCTGCATTGTTACCATTGATGGCATTTTTTATTATATATTCAGAGTGGAAACCTGAGAGATCCTAAAGTTGAGGTTAAAGAAGAGATAAAAGAGGAGGAGGATGAGGATGGGGGGATGGAGGAGTCAGAGCTTCTAAAAGAACACAAAGATCTGTACCAGGACACCATGGTGGAGTCATCCAGCTACAGGAACCCACCAGAGAGATGTCCCCGTCCTCTGTATTCCCGGGATTTCACACAGGAAGGTCACACCATCCTTCAACATTACAAGGTTGGTGGGACAGAACTTCTAGAACATGGATTTGTAGAGATGATATGTGAATATTTAATGTGATTTTATATTTTACAAATGAAATTGTATTTCCTTTTCTTGGTTTAGGGTGAAGATCTGATAGATATAAAAGTTGAGGTTTAAATCAGAAGAAGAAGAGGCGTATGTGAGGGATGATCAGCAGTCTATGGAGGAGGATGGAATAACGGGGACATTTATAGAGGAGGACACTCCTACAGAGATCAGCACAGGTGGGTCATGAACACTAAATCCATTCCTCCACCCATACTGCTCACTGATTGGTCCAGAGTAGGGCGGGGGGGACTGGGTGATATCAGCCTGTAATCCCCTGGTCACTTTCCTGAGCTGTGTTCCCCGTCCTGTATTCCTGGATTTCTCTCGGATAATCTTCCTTCTCTGTGCTGCAGACACAATTTATGTATCTAGACTGGATTTATGGAGGTTCTGGGGTTCAGCTGGCAGCAAAATGTTGATTTTTTTTACCATAGACATTGCTAGACCTAGGTAGTTGGGGTATGTACTTTGAGTCTTCTGTCCCTATACCTAGGCCAAGCAAAATCTATGACAGCAATTCTCCCAAGGTTATTTACTCTGTTGTCTGCTGGCTGTGCCAGGTGGAGGGATATGATCCTTGTCCTATAGTCCCCTCATCACTGTCACTCCTATCCTACCAGCTGGCCATTTTATATCGAATGATGTGATTGGAGCACAGACTTTTACATGGTGATAATAATGTGATAACATCCTCCAACTTTGGACCCTTAAACAGAAAGTGATAATGAGGGAGGAGTCAATACAATACCCCAATGATGGTGGTCTTCAGGATCAGTCCAGTCTTCATCATCTTGGTTGTTCTCCCCCCCATCCTCACTCTCTGACCTCTGGTGGGGCTCAGCCCCGCTGTTCTTCATGACTAAATCATGGACTAAATAAGGAAGTGCAATACTTCTTGTGTTGGGAAGATGGCGATGAGTGATAGAGGGGGTGGGGACCCTCGTCCTATAATCCCCTCATCACTGTCCCTCCTATAAAAGACAGTTCTGGTTGTTTCCTCACTCTCTGACTAAGATCCATGAATAAAGAAATGACCTGGTAGGAGATCAGAGGAGCCATTTCCTAGTTCCCTTGAGGGTGGAATTGTAAGCTCCTCGGAGACCAAGCTGCCTGATGTGGGCGGAGTCCAGGTTTGGGGGAACCAATCAGCTCCTGTCTAGTAATCCTCTTTGTCTTTGTATTTTAGTCCATGGCCGGGAGATGAGGAAAACCTCCGAGGATTGTCTCACTTTGTCTCCAGACTGGAAAGTAGAAGATGAGGACATCACACAGTATAGTCCAGGAGAAAACCCGGCTCCCTCCAATGTCCATCCGGCACCACCCAGTGTAGATGGACCATCGGATTCCTCGTATCCTGAGGAACCTCAGACTGTGCGGGACCGGGCCGGACATTCCAACAGGGAAGAGCTTCTCCTGTCCTGAGTGCAGGAAATGTTTCCATTTTAAATCCCATCTTAATAGACATAAAAGGTCTCACACGGGTGAGAAGCCGTATTCCTGTCCTGAGTGCGGGAAATGTTTTTCACAGAAGTACGATCTTTACACACATCAGAGATCTCACACAGGGGGAGAAGCCATATTTTTGTCCTGAGTGTGGGAAATGTTTTTCACAGATCTCCCATCTTTACACACATCAGAGATCGCACACAGGGGGGAGAAGCCACTTTCCTGCTCCGTGTGCGGGGAAATGTTTTTCACATTTGTCCAGTCTTTACAGACATCAGAGATCTCACACGGGGGAGAAACCATTTTCTTGTCCTGAGTGTGGGAAGTGTGTTTTGCAACAAAAACAGATTTTGTTAAGCATCAAAGATCTCACACGGGGGAGAAGCCTTATTGCTGTCCTGAGTGCAGGAAATGTTTTTCACAGAAGTCTGATCTTTACAGACATCAGAGATCTCACACGGGGGAGAGAGGTCACTTTCATGTTCTGAGTGCAGGAAAAGTTTTTCACAAAAATCTGATCTTTACAGACATCAGAGACTGCACACAGGGGAGAAGTCACTTTCCTGTTCTGAGTGCGGGAAATGTTTTGTACAAAAATCAAATCTTGTTACACATCAAATGTCTCACACAGGGGAGAAGCCCTACTCCTGTCTTGCGTGTGGGAAATGTTTTTCACGGAAATCTCATCTTTATACACACCAGAGATTGCACACGGGGGATAAGCCATATTCCTGTCCTGAGTGCGGGAAATGTTTTTCACAGAAGTCCACACTTTTTTAAACATCAGAGATCTCACACTGGTGAGAAGTTGTATTCCTGTTCTGTGTGTGGGAAATGTTTTTCAGTGAAGTCCAGTCTTTCCAGACATCAGAGATCTCACATGGGGGAGAAGCCACTTTCCTGTCCTGAGTGAGGGAAATGTTCCTTTCGGAAGTCCTTCTTCCTGTACATCAGGGGTCCCACACAACCCTGGAGGTGTATTAGTGCCTTGAGTGCGGGAAATGTCTTCTAGATGAATGTTGCTGGACATCCCAGCTCTCATGTGGGGAAGAAGCACACCCTGATATACACCTCAGATATACTCCATGGCTGATCTTCATCATGGAAGAGACAGTTCATAAGGAGATCAGAGGTCCCCAAAGACATGGATGAAGTGTGGGACCAGGTTGGCCATTGATAGCAGGAGAAGAATAAAAATTAAGTCTTCACCTTCATTTGCAAGGTCTTTTTTTTTTTAAATTAGTTGATCAAATGTAACCGGCATTCGCCCAGCTGTGAAGAATTTTGGCTGTCTTTTTATTTCCTATGATCATTGGCACCATCTACTGGCTATAATGCTGTATTGCACTAATTTTTACTGAAGAAGGTATATTTTAGGAAACATACTGTAACATGGCCACTAGATGGAGCTGGCAGTCATAGGAAATCACTGTATTAATTCAAATATGACCAGAATTCTTAACGGCTGGATGAATATTTGTCACATTCGTCCAATGAATGTTCTATAAGTGGACCCTTTAGTTCCTTCATCAGGCATGGATTCATACAGACAGCTGAGGTCATACTCATGCATTTGTGAGTACAGAACACACTGACGGATAGACGTTCATTATAACCAACACTATTAGACGCTTCTGGATTGCGCACAGGGGTAGCACAGCTGCGTTGGATCATATGCATGATCCAGCATTTCCAGTAATATATATATATCTTTCCCCACCTGATCTGTGCTGTGATTTATGGTGGGACCTGCTTAGCAAATCCCAGTAGCAAGCTCTGTTTACTAACAACACAGGGCTCTGTACACAGAGCAGCAATGTGGCTGTGTTTTTTCTCCCTACGAAGCAGGGAGAGAAATTAGCCCCATCTTTTAGTAAAGGCAGCACATAGGACACATTGTTAGGCACACAGTTAACCCTTTGATCGCCCTGAATGGTAACCCCTTCCCAGCCAGTGTGATTAGTACAGTGACAGTGTAAAGTATTATCGGTGATCACTGTAATAATGTCACTATTGATGTCAGTTAGTGTCCCCTCCCAGCCAGCATCAGCTAGTGCCAGATTGCCCGCCACACTATAAGTCGCTGATCACCGCCATTACCAGTATAGCATCATGGCTGCATAAATTCCAGTGTATATCCCATAGTTTGTAGTTACATAGTTAGTCTGGCTAAAAAAAGACAAAAGTCCATCCAGTTGAACCATTAAAAAGAAAAAGTTATAATTCTACACCCACAGTTGATCCAGAGGAAGGCAAAAAATCCCAGCAAAGCATGATCCAATTTGCTTTTGCTGGGAAAAAATTCCTTCCTGATCCCCCGAGAGGCAATCAGATATTCTCTGGATAAACTTTACCTATAAATGTTACATCCAGTTATATTCTGTGTATCCAAGAAACAATCCAGGACTGTCCTACAGCAATCCACTGAGCTGGTCAGTTGTAGACTCTATACCTTTCATACGAACCAATTAAAAGACACTTATTGGGATTTTTTTTTTTTTTACCAAAAATGTAGCAGAATACATTTTGGCTGAAATTTGTGAAGAAATTTGATTTTTTTATGTTTTATAATAGAAAATATCAGTTTTTTGTTTCAAAATTTTCAGTCTTTTTTTGTTTATATAATAAAAAAAATCTAGTGATCAAAGGGCACCAATAGAAGGCTTTATTTGTGTGAAAAAATGATATAAATTTCACTTGGGTAAAGTTTTGTATGATGAAGCAATTGTCAGTTAAAGTAACAAAGTGCTGAATAGCAAAACGTGCCCTGGTCATGAAGGGGGTAAAACTTTCCAGAGCTTAAAGTGTTACTAAACCCACAACAGTGAAATCAGTCTGTAGATGCAGTGTTGTGTGTTTTACTCACTGTAGGACCTAAGGGGTTAATCCTCTGCATTGTGTAAAAAAGGCTGTTGGATCCTGTCTTTTCTGCCCCTCCTCTTGTTGAAATGACCACCTCATACAGACTGAATTCGTAGTCACATGCACATGCTCAGTTTGGTGTGTATTGCTAGAGGGGTTGTTTTTTTTTTTTTTTATTGTGAGGGTGCATGTGATCAGCACAGGGCCCATCAGCAATGTCCAGACAGAGGTCAGGGGTTTCACATCCTCCTAGAGAAGAAATAAAACTCCTCCTACAAGCTTTAACCAGTGCTCTGCTGAAGTCACAAGACTGCTTAATACTGATGATGAGAAAAAAGGGTTTAGCAGTTTATATTTACTAAAATAATTGCATTTCCATATTCTGTGTGTACTGTGAGAGACCAGATATAGTGAATGCAGGGTCCGGAGAGACTTGATATAGTAAATGAGGGGTAAGGGGAGTCCGGATATAGTGAATGCGGGGTCCGGGGAGAGTGGATATAGTGAATTCGGGGTCAGGGGAGACCAGATATAGTAAATGCGGGGTCCGGGGAGAGCGGATATAGTGAATGCGGGGTCCGGGGAGAGCGGATATAGTGAAGGCCGGGTCCGGGGAGACCGGATATAGTGAATGCGGGGTCCGGGGAGAGCGGATACAGTGAATGCAGGATCCGGGGAGAATGGATATAGCGAATGTGGGGTTCAGGGAGAGCGGATATAGTGAATGCGGGGTTTGGGGAGAGCGGATATAGTGAATTCGGGGTCAGGGGGAGACCAGATATAGTAAATGCGGGGTCCGGGGAGAGCGGATATAGTGAATGTGGGGTCCGGATATAGTGAATGCGGGGTCCGGGGAGAGCAGATATAGTGAATTCGGAGTCAGGGGAGACCAGATATAGTAAATGCGGGGTCCGGGGAGAGCGGATATAGTGAATGCAGGGTCCGGGGAGACCGGATATAGTAAATGTGGGGTCCCGGGGAGAGCAGATATAGTGAATTCGGGGTCAGGGGAGACCAGATATAGTAAATGCGGGGTCCGGGGAGAGCGGATATAGTGAATGCGGGGTCCGGGGAGAGTGGATATAGTGAATGCAGGGTCAGGGGAGACCGGATATAGTGAAGGCCGGGTCCGGGGAGACCGGATATAGTGAATGCGGGGTCCGGGGAGAGCGGATACAGTGAATGCGGGGGGTCCGGGGAGAATGGATATAGCGAATGTGGGGTTCAGGGAGAGTGGATATAGTGAATGCGGGGTCAGGGAGAGCGGATATAGTGAATGCGGGGTCTGGGGAGAGCGGATATAGTGAATTCGGGGTCAGGGGGAGACCAGATATAGTAAATGCGGGGTCCGGGGAGAGCGGATATAGTGAATGCGGGGTCCGGGGAGAGCGGATATAGTGAATGCAGGGTCAGGGGGAGACCGGATATAGTGAAGGCCGGGTCCGGGGAGACCGGATATAGTGAATGCGGGGTCCGGGGAGAGCGGATACAGTGAATGCAGGGTCCGGGGAGAATGGATATAGCGAATGTGGGGTTCAGGGAGAGTGGATATAGTGAATGCGGGGTCAGGGAGAGCGGATATAGTGAATGCGGGGTCTGGGGGAGAGCGGATATAGTGAATGCGGGGTCTGGGGAGAGCGGATATAGTGAATGCAGGGTTCGGGGAGAGCGGATATAGTGAATGCGGGGTCCGGGGGGGGAGAGCGGATATAGTGAATGCGGGGTCCGGGGAGAGCGGATATAATGAATGCAGGGTCTGGGGAGACTGGATATAGTGAATGCAGGGTCTGGGGAAAGCGGATATAGTGAATGTGGGGTCCGGGGACAGCGGATATAGTGAATGTGGGGTCTGGGGAGAGCCAGATATAGTGGATGCAGGGTTCGGGGAGAGCGGATATAGTGGATGGGGGGTTCAAGACCGGATATAGTGAATGCGGGGTTCTGGGAGAGTGGATATAGTGAATGCAGGGTCTGGGGAGACCGGTATAGTGAATGCGGGGTCCGGGGAGAGCAGATATAGTGAATGCAGGGTCCGGGAGAGAGGATATAGTGAATGCAGGGTCTGGGGAGAGTGGATATAGTGAATGTGGGGTCCAGGGAGAGCAGATATAGTGAATGCGGGGTCCGGGGAGAGCGGATATAGTGAATGCAGGGTATGGGAGACCATATATAGTGGATGCGGGGTCCGGGGAGAGTGGATATAATGAATGCAGGGTCCGGGGAGACTGGATATAGTGAATGCAGGGTCTGGGGAAAGCGGATATAGTGAATGCAGGGTCCGGGGACAGCGGATATAGTGAATGTGGGGTCTGGGGAGACCAGATATAGTGGATGCAGGGTTCGGGGAGAGCGGATATAGTGGATGCGGGGGCCGGGGAGAGCGGATATAGTGGATGCAGGGTTCAAGACCGGATATAGTGAATGCGGGGTTCTGGGAGAGTGGATATAGTGAATGCAGGGTCTGGGGAGACCGGATATAGTGAATGCGGGGTCCGGGGAGAGCAGATATAGTGAATGCAGGGTCCGGGAGAGAGGATATAGTGAATGCAGGGTCTGGGGAGACCAGATATAGTGAATGCGGGGTCCGGGGAGAGAAGATATAGTGAGTGCAGGGTCCGGGGAGACCGGATATAGTGAATGCGGGGTCCGGGGAGAGTGGATATAGTGAATGTGGGGTCCGGGGAGAGCAGATATAGTGAATGCGGGGTCCGGGGAGAGCGGATATAGTGAATACAGGGTATGGGAGACCATATATAGTGAATGCAGGGTCCGGGGAGAGTGGATATAATGAATGCAGGGTCTGGGGAGACCAGATATAGTGAATGCGGGGTCCGGGGAGAGTGGATATAATGAATGCAGGGTCTGGGGAGACCAGATATAGTGAATGCGGGGTCCGGGGAGAGTGGATATAATGAATGCAGGGTCTGGGGAGACCAGATATAGTGAATGCAGGGTCTGGGGATGTATGTAGCAGCTCTGTTAAACTGCACATTTTAGGTCTGAAGATTAGTTGAAACCCCCAAATATATTTTCTGAAAGCAGAGGCCCTGG